GGAAACACCTCCAACAGCCCAGCAACAGCAGGACGCGCATGTGTGTGAGGTGGATGCTCATGTTTTAGAGAGCCAGCAGTGTGTGTGTGCGTGTGTGTGCGCGTGTGTGTGCGTATGTGCGTGTGTGTATATGTGCGTGTGTGTGCGTGCGTGTGTGTGTGTGCGTGTGTGTGTGTGTTAGCTTGGAAAAGTTGGGGATGTTTTGTGGGTGATGGATGGGAGCATTGAGGGAGGCTTCGTTCAACCATTGTTCATTTGTAAAGTACACAACTGTCCTGCCTAATTGCTCAGCCATAATGTCAGACTGCGATGAGTGATTACAACCAGCGCTGACCTATTCTTTACATCAGTGCTCAGGAAAACTTCACCTTATCATCCCCCAGAGCGACAGAGCAAGAGACAACACACTGTGTTCATACTTCAACAGTGTACAAACACTTTTTTATTCACAGAATCTGAACAATAGCATTCGACCTGTGGATGCTACTCCACATCCATCTGTGTTCTTTCATGGCTTTTTTGTGAGTGTTTTGTAACGTTGTTTCACAGCATTAAAATTACAGCACGTCTGGGTGTATATGAGTACATAGCCTATTCATTCATTCATTCATTCGTTCATTCATTCATTCATTCATTCATGATCCCTGCAGGATGAATTGCAACAGCTTCTAGCACCAACATCAGGTCAACATAATTTTAATTCATCCAACACGCTGGTTTTTACCTAATTGCTAATTAGAGAATATTAGCATGCTAACATGTCAAACAAAAATTGTGAACAGCCTGTGAAACAGTAGCCCAAGCATGTTAGCATGCATTCGGCTCAAAGCACCACTGGGTGGTAGAGTTAATAAAGTAAAGTGGTAAATTCAACCTTCAGATGATGATTGCTGATGATGCTGACCAGCACTTTGACCCAAGAGAAGCATCATCATCATAAATGAAAATCCTCTTCTCCCATAAATGTACTTAGCTGTGTCAGAGTCGTCAGAGGATGTTCCACCAACAGGTCACAGTTTCACATGAGACATATTAGCCTGAAGCTCGGCCCCTCAAGGCTCAGGTAGTTATGTTATCTATTACATTATTGTAGTGAGGAGTAATTGAAGAAATAGTGTCTGAAGAGGTCAAAACTAGAGGAACAAAATGCTGGCACTCACAGGTGAATAGTCTATTTAATAAGGGGCAATCAATCACTTGCTGCAGGTGTTGCTGGAGTTTTGACCTCTTTCAACTTTTTCCTTTCTCCATTCACCTTGGAAGTAGGTGAGGTTGTGCCAGAAACCTCTACTTTGCTTAAACAAATTCCATCACCATCTTCACCACTGTATGTTTTGTTGTTTGTTCTTTTTACATTTAAAAGCAGTAAAATAACATAATACAGAAGAAGTGGTTGTCATAGGATGTATGTATGAATTCTCTTTTCCAGTTGTTCATGACGTGTCATTTTCTTTGACACACAAAAGATCAATTCTTTCACTGAGTAAATGAATCTGAACAATCTAAAGTCATTTCTCACTGAAGGATCAGCCTGGCCACAGACAACACTTCCAACACAACTGTCAGCCGCCTGCTTTTAAGAAAGCAAAACTTTATTTATACAACACATTTCATTCCCAGTGGAAGCACAATGTGCTGCACAAAACATGAATTATCAAAGAAGTTGCAACCACAAAAACTATGAGGATAGTGTTAAGATAAAACATTAGACACAAACAAAACAAACAGTTAAATGATAGGACTGAAGAAAATAAAATAATTAAGAACAATAAACCATCAGTAAAAAAAGGTATGTAAATTAAAACAATTAAAAAGTAGAAATAAAATGTGATTAATGAAATAATAGGGACTCTGTCAGTGGACTGTGCAATGATTCCCACACACATCTGAATATGAAATGTACAAGCGCACAAAACAACAGTGCAGTTTTAATGGACCTCTCAGTAAAAACTCCATGAATCTTTTAACAGTTTACCACCAATGTCTTCACTAACCATTCCTAACAGTTATACTCTACACACAGGACTTCACCTCTGACTGCATCATTGTCAGTCATTTAACAGAACAGGATAAAAAGCTTTAATTTAAACAAAGTAAGGAATCACACAAATGTGTAAGTTGTGCATCAAGTGCAGATAGCTTTATTCTGCGGTGTGTGTGTGTGTGTGTGTGTGTGTGTGTGTGTGTGTGTACGTGTTGATATTCATGCCTTGCCCTCACTCCTTCCTAACTATGATAAAGTAGCCCCAGTGCTGCCATGGACGCTGCCCTACTCCCACTGCCCAGGCATCTGCTTCCTCTGCCTCTGCCATCAGGACTGGATTGGGTTCAGATCACCCGGGCTTCAGGGAGGGGTGGGGGGTGGGGGTTCAATGATTGGACTCAGGTTTGGGCTTGAAACCAGTCCTGGGGCCACTTTGGCTGGAAGAGATGGTAGATTGGGAGGCCGCCATGCCCACATGGGTTATGATGAAGGAGGTTGAGGAGGAGGAGGTGGTGGATGAAGACAAGGAGCTTGAAACATCAGGTGAAGCTGGGGGTGGGGGGGGTGAGTCATGTTGGTGACCACATGCTGCTGTCAGTCTGCTTCCACACACACACACATAGAAAAATCATACACACCTCCCACTCTGGCTCGGGGGAAAGCAGAGATCATCTGGGAAGATAGTGTGTGTGTGTGTGTGTGTGTGTGTGTGTGTGTGTGTGTGTGTGTGTGTGTGTGTATGCGTATGTGTGAGCGCGGGTGTGGGCGTGGGTGAGAGTGTGTGTGGGGGGGGGTGGGGGGCTTGTATATATGGGTGCACTGAGTGTGAATCTCAGACCCCGTGGAGAGAAGCAGAGATCTCCCCTGCTAAATCCACTCATCTGATCTCATCTGTCAATCACTGGATCCTCCACCAGTGATGTGTTGGTAGAGGGGGGGGGTTGGGGGTGCAGGCTGTTTATGGACGTGTTAGTCATGAGAGTGATAGAGCTGATGTTCACAGCAGATCACTGTAGGCCTGCTCTCCCCGCACACAACTTAGTTTGCCGCCCTGCTGCCTTCAGGCCGCAGCAGGAGCAGCAGCTCCACAGAGGAGGCAGGTGCACACAGTGTAACTCACACGTCTCTCTGCAGTGGAACTTACTACCGATGCTGCAGTTACAATACTGCCTAAATGCTACAGCAGCTGGGTAGTGAAGTTGTACTTTGATGAGAAATATTATCAAATGAGAATTTCTCTAATAATAAGACAAGGTCTAAACCGAATATCTGTCTGGACCTCTGGTCAAATCCTGATTTTATAACTGTGATGTCGTCTGACAAAATCACCAAACAAGTAAATGAAAGACAAAGACTGAGCTGTGATTTCAGCTGGATTTACTGTAACATGATCACTCACAGAGAAAGTTAGGAGAGAAAATCTGTCTTTATTTTAAAGTAAATTTTTAATGCTTTTATTACAGTCATAGTGAGAGAGAGAGAGAGAGAGAGAGAGAGCGAGAGAGAGGATGACACGCAGCAAAGGGCCACAGGCCGGACTCGAACCCAGGCCGCCAGGTCAAGAACCGTCTGGATCATCCACCAGGTGAAACACCGGGGCCTGAGATCTTTCTTATTGAGTCTCTCACACAGAGCACAGCCTCCGTCTGGATCCACAATAGTCTTTATTTACTTCAACTCCAGAACGTAACATTAGAGGCAGGTCTTTTTGTCTAACTCCCTCTGCTTGATATGTAGACTTCTCTCTATTCTATTTTAGGTACAATAAACAAATAAATAGTTAATAATCAAAATGTGTTTTTGTGAAAGTGTAGTTAATCTTTAAACCTGAGGCTGTTTACAGTTCTATAAAATACATACAAGACATACAAATGAAATCAGAAGTCTTCTACACAGCAGTTTGATTCAGTCGGTTCACATCAAACAAAAGCAGAGTGAGGAAAAGCTACACTTTTTCATTTGTGTGTGTGTGTGTGTGTGTGTGTGTGTGTGTGTGTGTGTGTGTGTAGGCCTGTGAGTTTATACAGCTATGCACACCTCTAGACACACACCTCTGTTTACTGAAGCTCTGTACACTTTGCTTATTTGTTTCACATTGTATTAATGATGAACATCTGCCTGTGCTTCTCAGCTGATGATGCCACACACACACACACACACACGCGCACACACACACACACACACACACACACACACACACACACACACACATCCTGGTACACCTATCTTTGTGGGGTCCTGTCATTGACATACCTTATTCCCTATAGCCCCTTACCCTTAACCATCACAAGTGAATGCCTCAAACAGCTATTCTAACCTGTGAGGTCCAGCATGTTGGTCCCCAAAAGTATAGTAAAACAAGCACAACTACAAACACACACACCCCTAAGGAGTGTCCTGAAATGCATCAGTTTAACATTAAGCGATGATGGAACACAAGCAAACAGGGATTTGCAGCACACACACACACCCACACACACACACCCACACGCACACACACACACACACACACACACACACACACACAGCTCTAGTATAAGTGTTGTAAGAAGGGGAGAGTGGAGGTGATGGTGGGGGAATTCAGGAGGGTGGGGGGACATGGCAGGGGACGGGGGGTCTCTTCATTTCTAGGTGATTCACGTTTGAAGAGGGCGTGCAAAATTGCTTTATGGAAAGTGGCGAGCGGCTCGGCGGGAACATTAGGTGGGAAGCAGCGGGGAGGCCTGCGTTTCATTAGGGAGCTCTACTCCGCCTTTATTACCCGGATTTGGAGTTTTATGGTTATCATTATTTGCAATAGAATTATTATTCGCATATATCTGCTAGTCAGCTGTTTGGGTTGGGGACACTGGGACATGCAGTCTGTGTGACTGAATCTCTGAGTGGTTTCTGAAGTGATGTGTACAAGGTCTGCCATTTTCCCTCCTCTGTGCACCATGTGTGTGTGTGTGTGTGTGTGTGTGTGTGTGTGTGTGTGTGTGTGTGTGTGTGTGTGTGTGTGTGAGTGTGTGTGAGCTCAGGCTGTGGTCGTGCTGTCAGCCGCATCATCGGCCTCAGCAGGCAGCATCTCAGAGGCTTCCACGGTGCGGCCTGAGAGTCTGGCATTGGTGAGGCAACACTGGGCGATCTCTGACTGAAGCCGTGTCTGGATCTCCATCAGGAACTCGTCCTGTTGTACACACACAAGAACACAAACATTAATGTCTTGAACAGGCTTCAGGATTCGCATAATGCTAAAAAAAAACCTGTCAAGGAGCCATTCATATATTAGACATCTCTCAGGTATAAAATAAACAAGATTCCCTTTGTTTCGGAATGATAAAATGATGACCAAGTGTGGTAAAGATGTTGCATTTAAACTGTACCTGTTACACAGGTATCAGACTACACTGAGTTGGACACAGTATCCTCGCTGAGATTTGGCTGAGAGATCTGACAGACCCCAACCTGTCAGTCACGGTATGTGAGACGTAAAGAGGTGACCGGAACAAAGATACAGGGACCAACTTCATTGTTCCACCACACTGTACCCACATCCATCCTCTTTCGCACTTCTGTCAGTGAACGTCATTGAACACACCACAGACGTCAAACTAGGTAAGTGAAGCCTCCTATTTTGACCTCTTACGGTTTATTGCAATTTATTTTCATAGTTTTTCAGATGTTATAACATGATAGTCACAAAGTTAACTGCTGGGATCAGGGAACACGGCCCCACACTGCTACAACATCTGACGGGTCACACGAGTGGTCAGACCATGATTCACCAGTTTATCAGATTATCTAAACCACTTCATTTTCCATTGGTTTTTCCATGGCAGCGTGTCCAGACACAGTGGTCTCTCACAGACCAAATATATCAATCAATAATACTTAAATAGCCAATAAAATAAACAAATAAAAAAACAAAAGCTCCTTCTCACATGGTGAAACTCAGCCACAGATATCAGGATCTTCAGGACACTGGTAGAGTGAGTACGATGGACTACTCAATGTGAAATGAAGAACTACTGCGTCTCTGTTTTCATTGAAACCTGGCGACACAGCAACATTCAGGACACAGCCATTGATCTGGATGGGCTAACTTGGTACTGAGCTGACAGAGTAAGGCTTGCAGCAGTGGACTGTGTGTTTACATCAACAAGAAAAGGTGCATGAATGCTGTGGTTGTGTCCAAACACTGTCCTCTGCTGGGTGGAGTTCATCAAACTTCGACAACAAGCTTCTCTGCTCAGCACAGTTGTAAAGAGTGGTTATCTGAGTGACTGTAGCCTTTCTGTCAGCTCCAACCAGTCTGTCCATTCTCCTCTGACCTCTGTACTCTCTCATCAACACAGAGCTGCTGCCCACTGGACAAGATCAACAATCATGTCACAGTCAAAGTCACTGAGATCATATTTTTCCTCATTCAGATGTTTGATGTAACTAAAGCTCTTCACCTGGATCTGCAGGATTTTATGCTCTGCTACCACATGACTGGCTGATTGGACAATAGCTTGAATAAACAGGTGCACAGGTGTTCCTGATAAAGTCACTGATGAGTGTGTGTGTGCATCAACAGCTCTGGTTCCTTTGTTTTATTGTGGAAATTTTCACCTGATAGTGGAGCTAGAGGAAATGTAATGGAGTCACTAAAATCATCACAAATCTCCCTCTGGGGAGCATGAATATCCACAAATTTCATTTCAGGTTAGTTGTTCAGACGTCTTGCCCTGGACTCGTGTGTGTGTGTGTGTGTGTGTGTGTGTGTGTGTGTGTGTGGACAGACAGACTGACTGACGTCCTTTGGTGCAGCTGCTACCAGGGCAGAAAAACCTCCCCAGTGATCTCCCTGCACCTCAGCTCTCATCAATCTGTGGGGCTCATTCACTCCAGGAGCTCCTTTTGTGATTAAATGTTGTAATATACTTTTATGGTACCCAGTTTTTCAGTTAGTTATGTCCTACATTACCCAGAATCCCTTCCATTTTGTGCTTTGTGGTTGTATGTGTGTGTATATTCCCACTTACTGACTGACATAAGAAAAGAATGCACCTTCAAACTACATTAGTATCACAAGGTTGCTGCAGAACTGTGCCAAAAACTAAGGGGGGGGGGGGGGGGGGGGCGCGGGGCACACACTCAGAGCAAACTGGAGAAAGAAATCACAGAGTGGAGAATAAAAGGACAGAGCAGTACAAAGGCAGTGTGCTGACTCCTGGCTGGCTGCTGGCCGCCAGAATCACTGATGAACTTTCCCGCCTCATAAATTATCGCCGTGACGACGGGTGAGATGCTGTCAGGGAAGCCCAGCATCCCAAAAACCAACAGCAGCAGCAGCAGCAGGTCTGGACAGCAGCTCAAGACACCGTGTCTTCCTCCTCTGTCATCAGCCTCTGCTCTGTCTCTTTAAACACGTGGAAACATGATGAGCCTCAGCCTGAGACTTTGAACAGATCCACATGTTGGATTAACAACTGGGAAACAAGTGTCACCGTCGTCAGTCCAACAAACATGCTGTATGATTTTTCTTTAAAGCTGCACAAATAAATATTTTCTTTGTCAACAATGGATCAAATTACTGTGTAGTGTGAAAGGAGTCATCATCACCCAACTTTTTAGTATTTTTAGCTCATTGTTTTGATTTCACGGCTCAGTTCCAAACATCTGACTCCCCCCCATGTAAAACAAATGAGCTTTGAAGACAAGATTAGGAATGGGAACATTAACTTCCTGTGCCGCAGTTAGAAACTAGAATCAGCTCCTCATGGTTGTCTGCCTCCTCCACTCAGACTAGTTTCAGGTTACCATTTGTGTGAAGTCTTGCCATAATTGCTGTGTGAAGTCTTGAGTTATGGCTAAAGGTCAAAGGTGACACTGACCTTTGACCTTTAGCCATCCTTGAGTCCAGGTGACCATTTTTACCCAATTTGAAGAAATTCCCTCAAGTTGTTACAGCAATATGGTGTTCACAAGGCCAAAACTTTGTTTTGTGAGGTCATCGTGACCTTGACTTTTGACCTTTGACCACCACAATGTATTCACTTCATCCTTGAGTCCTAGTGAATGTTTTTGCCTAATTTGAAGAAGTTCCATCAAGGTGTTACTGAGATATTGTGTCCAAGAGAATCAGACGGATGGACAGACAACCTGAAAACAATATGGCTGTCGTTATAATTATGGATGAAGTTGATGTAGATATACAGGTTGTTATAAGACGTCAAAACATCATAGCTCTTAAATTGGCATATTCCTTTGAATGTTGTGTAAAATGTTAATTGCTCCTAACTAGGGCTGTCCCAAACGATTATTCTTTAAACGATTAATCTAGCAATTATTTTTTTTTATTAACCTAACAGCAATTTCGCTGCACCAGGGTGTTTCCTCTTTATGTGCTCGTGCATGACTGTCGTGCTAGAGTGATATGCCAGATGCACTTTGCAGAGTCTGCAGACTACCGCACTGTTGGTGTCAAGATTAAAGTATTCCCAAACTTTGGAGGACCGTGTGCGAGCCTTTTTTGCCGCATGTTGCTCCACGCGCTCCGTCGTACTGCTGGTAGACGCCGCCATGTTGTTCAAATAGATTACACAGACGCAAATCATTCACGTAGTCAATGACTTCAATTATGTCACCGCGTTGTCCCAGCCCTTGCGCTGCGTTTGTATCCGGGTAAACCAAAGACGATGGATATAAACGGTCCCATTAGAAAGTTCCGGTTTTGTTCTATGAACATTTACCCTGTGTGGTTTTACACGACGGGTCGACACTAAAATTCCAAGTCGAATAATTTTTTATAATCGACAATGTCGATTACGTCGGATAATTGTCCCAGCCCTACTCCTAACAACAGCTACCAGGACTGCAAATGATCTCAGTGGAACAAATGCATCTTTCTCTGCCCAGCAGAAACAAGCTAACAGTAGCTTTGTCATTTAAAGACCGATTACATCAAAGTGACTGGACTGTCCCATTTCAAAGGCTTCTTCAAATGCGTCCTGCTTTTCCTGAGCAACTAAGGACCCAGCAGGTGGATCCTTCATGGTCCAACCTATCCCAAGATTCTCTGCCGCCCATGATGAAAATAATATGGCAGCAAACAACAGAGAGCCTGAGCATTACACAGTTAAATGTAAGTGTTGGGTTTCAGCTCAGTTAAACAGCTAACAGTGCAACTGTTAAAACCACAGGCCTTAAAACCTCAAGTTTTTGTTAAAAAAGTTATGCGTTATCAAGGTTGCTAGGCTACAGTAGCCACGCTTTGCGACACAAAGTCCTCTGTAGGCCAGACTGCCTCAATCCAGCCTTCGCGGTCTACAGCGGCGATGAAGGGCCACGCCTTGAATTGGAACACAGCTAATGTCAGACTGACTGAATGAAGTCAGAGACAGTTGAGAAAGGAGAAGGTTCCCCTTCAATTATGTCCTGTAACTGTGTCACATGGGTTTCTCCACCCCCCTTTAGGAGACCAGTGGCAGGCCTGAGTTTGTTCATTCCAATGGGGAACGTGAATGTGATCACATTCTTTCGCCCCTTTAGTTACCAAAATAAATATTGGATCNTCGTGAATGTGATCACAGCTTATGACCGATTCTTTCGCCCCTTTAGTTACCAAAATAAATATTGGATCCACTGTTTAACAAGCCACATATCCTCTGACACCAAAATGGCATTTTTAGACCGACAGATCAGGAGAATATCAACTTTATCGGAGACCTGTTTCTGTCTCAGCAACACACTCTCATGAGATCTTGCAACAAAGATCTCTCTTCTCTCTGTCGGTTCTGGTCTTGTTTCACTGCTGCAGTAGAGCTGCCGACGTCGCTTTCCAACCACAGAAGTTTAGAGGGACTTATATGTAACCATAAATTAAAAGTTTAAACTGAAATAAAACTTGTATTTCTTTGCTTAATAATACTATTACTATTATTATCATTTAACTGTTTTTTGAGGGAAAACAGAGTATTGTTAGACTGATATGATCTTGTACTGGACTGATCTGATATAAATTAGCAGATTAAAACGAGCGGTAAAATCAGGCCCACTTAGAAGACAGGAAGTATATACCATTTCATACCACTGGGGCTGCCTGTAAAGCGTCATGTTCTTGAAATGAAACAACATGCTAGCTTTGTGCTAACTGTTCAACTAGCAAAGTTAGCGACCAGCTGGAAGAAGACGGTGGAACAT